CAATGCTCACGAAAGATGATAAATGAGGTTTATCTATTGTCAATACATTGGTCATTTTCATTTACACCTGAAAAAACAGTCAAAGCACATAATTTTTGCAACTGGGCGGGGCTACCCGACACATTTTGAAAAAGGCTGAAAAACATGTTTTTTTTAAATTTCAATTTTTTTAAGTTAAACTATTCTTTTTTTGATTTATTCTCTTTGCATTATTTAATTAGATGATAAAACAATAGAAGCATACAAAAATATTGATTATTACTCAATATTATACAGAAATATAAGCAATACTCCTTAAGTGGGCGGGGCTACCCGACTCTCCCTTATGTGTGCTATAAAACTCTAAAGACTGATTGTAAGACATTACGTTAGAAAATATCCATTATTCTTTTAAAAAATTATGAAAATCAATTTTACCGTATCGGACCATATTTTACCGGATTCTACCTTTAAGATCTTCACAAATTAAAAATTTAAAAGTCCCCACACATCAATATTTTAGAAATATGTAAAGTGTTTCAGTTAATCTAGACATATTTTTGATTTTTCCTTATTGAATTTATTTAACAAAACAAAAAAAATATGTCCGTTTTCATCTTGTATTCATGCGTCTAAATATTAACTACAAAATAACACTGGTTTGAAATTAGTTATTTATGGTTACAGTTAAGTTATTTTAACTGGTAAAATTTGTTTTACTAGTTAAGATATTTTAAACTTGTTTACATGTAAAGTTATTCTAATTGGCGTTATAGTTAACTGAAACACATTTGTTTCCCAAAATAAAATTTTCCCCCTTTTTATCATGTATAAAGATGCTCAAGTCAGAGGCTGAACTAGATTACTGTTCCACTATCATTCAATCAGTTTCCGTTTGCACTATTCCTATTATATTATTCGTATTCCTATCGAGAGAGAAACGCATATGCATCCCATGTGATGCATCTGTAACTGAATGATCATGGCGGATTCCAGACTACAGGTAAGTGAAATGACATTAGCTTAGACATTTCTACTCATGAGTCGCATTATTAGCTACAGAATAACACTGATTTTAAAATTAGTTATCTATAGTTAATATTAAAGGATTTTTTTATTAAATACTAAACTAACTAAAAATTTTATTAGCTACTGGGGCTGAAAAACTGATATGAAAACAGCTCTTCTATAGAAATCAGTGAAATTCAATTTTAAAGAATAGTCCTCCACAAATTGAGGTTTTATTCCTTATTTATAAAAAAAAAAGTGTTCTTCTATTTGCCAAGCTGTATCATAAACGCAATCATGTGGAACAGGAAACTCTTTTCAACAGAAAATTTAAGCTCAGAGAGAAAAAAGAAAGATTCCATTTTCGAAAACTCCGTGAAAGGTTAGAGAAAAGTGAAAAAAAAGAAAATTGTTCGGATATCCTTTTGGAAAAGCCTATCGAAATGCTATCAAAGGAAAAGCCGCTTTTCAATGAATTATATTTGTGTTAAATTCACGCATAGTAAATAGGGGTTATATGCTTAAATGGCTTGGGAGATCATGGGCATGTTCCATGGATTGTTTGGGAGTTTTAAAGTTTCATACTTAAAGGTTCATTTATTCTCTTCTGCAAATTTTAAGAGTGAGAAATCTTATGTACTTAACGTAAAATTTTGTATAAAGTTAGGTTTTAAATTGAGTTTAAAACTTCACACGTTTAGAAAATGGAACATTTAAATTAGATATATTTTGTCTGAAAGAAGATGCTGCGTAAAATATCGCTTTGCAGATAAATGAACCACAGAATTATTCTGCACTGTGGGATTAAGAAATATTTTTCATATTTAAAATGAGGTTATCATTGTATATAATGTTATATGGTATATTTATAAAGAAATGATATTTTAATATTGTAAAATATATTTCAATAAAGTAAAGCAATATCTATATATATCAAATGCCCTCTGAAGTGACTGTGCTTTAGAAGAATCAATGAAAGAAAAACAGTATAAGATAGAAATGTACGGTTTGTTTAGGAAACCAGAACTTTATTCAAAATTAGTAACAAATTTCGTCAACAGATGACGTTGCTAACTGAAAAAAGTACAATAAAGTGTTTTCAAAGCAACCACAACTTGCAACAAATACGTAGTGAAATCTGTGGATAAAATTAAATGACACCCGCGCTAATTTCATTTAAAGTACTCTAGCATGCAGCTGAAAACAATGCTTCCTAGTTTTTCTTGTCATCAGCGCTATCATTCGTAGAATTATTTTGCAACTAATTTTGAATAACTTCTCCCTTCAAGATGAGGCCAGTGTGAAATTAGCTTATTTTCCATTCAAAATTGAAAATAGAAGTTCAAATATCAATGAAATAAATGGAAAATTCGAGGAAAAAAAAACTTATCCCATAGGCTCCTCTGCTTACAGAATACATAGCAATATATTGCTATATATTCTATAAATAGCTCAACATAAGATTAAATTTGATATATATGAAACGTAAAATCTCAATGCGAATAAATTGCTGATT